CGGTGGGAAAAAGGCCCTAAGGCCTGTTGACAACATCTGACATGAACACAGGACAGAGAAAGCACATGGTACATGACTTGGCTGACAGTGATTGAACTACACGGCTGAATGAAATTGTTCTTTCCATGGGAGAGTAATTTCAACAGGAGGGCAGAAGGAGGGGACGTTATTACTTAGAAGCACCTGCCAAGCTTCGTAGGGATAAACAAGGCTTTTTAGGATTTCTAGACAGAGAAAGCAACAGGCAAAGAAAAGGCACACGGGCAGGTTGTTGTGAATGGCCCCAGGTGTGGGGAGTGATTAAGTAAGTAGCGAATAATCACAATGATCAATATAGGCCCATATGAACAAGTTTGGACATTATATTGTATCAAAAGGGGCTACAATTGAGGCCATTGGAGAACATGTTTAGTTTTAGGAAAAAAATCCCTTGACCAGAATTTTGGAAGGGGAGCCTTAGGAGGAAGACAAAAGAAAAGTAAGCATCCATGGACTGACATTATGGCATAGTGGGTAATGCCACCACCTGCCAAGCCTGCTTCCCATGGGAGCGCGGGGTTGTGCCCTAGCTGATCCTTGTCCTATCCAACTCCCTGCTAATAGCCTGGGGAAAGTAGCAGATGAGATATGTGTTGTCCGTCAGCGACGGACTTGGTGCACATAATCACACACATGGACTACTGACTGACTGTCAATAGCCGAAGTTTATTAGTGGCATCATGTTTCATAGACTGAGGGTCACATAGGATAAGGAAGGAGGTGTTGAATAGTTCACATAGTTCCCATAAGCCTCTCTATTTAACCCATCAATTGTTTCTGTACCCTTGCCTAGAAGTATCTCTTTGTTTGTTATATCTGATCAATTGTCCTCATACAGGTATCCAATCACTTGTCCTCCTACGATGACCCACAAGTCTGGCTCTCTGCCATCCATGTGACAGACCTAGAAGAAGCTCCTAGCTCCTGAAGCCTACGTCTCTGCCTGGTCACTATTGTAGCCGGTGTGAATGAGCAGATGGAAGATCTCTTCATCTCTGTTTCTCTCTCTCTCTTTCTCTATAACTCTTTCAAATCAATGAGTAAAAATCTTTTTAAAAAAATGGAAAAAAGTAAGTGAGGATTGTTCTGGCCCGGGTAACATGGGGTGATGCAGCAACAAGACATCCATGATGGGAACGGGAAGACTGATTGGCAGGCTGCTTGTAAAAGACAGATCTGCTCGTTGTTTAAGAGGAAGGAGTCAAAGTGGATCCAGGGTGTCCAAAGGAAGGAGGGTTAATGAAGCCAGGGCAGCATGCTGACAACTTGTGCATCCTGAGGCAGAGTGAAGGTCACAATACTTACAAGGAAACACCCTGCAGGGTTTGGAATTCCAGGGCGGGGAGGTGGAGGGAGAAGGAGGAGCTGGGGGATGGGAATGTCAGGAGGGATTTGCGTGTCCAGAGAAAAATTCCACTCCTGTAATTCCTTGTGGTAATTTCAGCCATCAAAAAGCTGTGAAAATAGATATTAAAACACTGGGTACCAAAACCTACTTGGTGATAAACTTCAGCTGAAAGCTGTGAGTCTGTTGATAGGTTTTATTTGTCCCACTTAGGATCAATGTCCATTCTTCTTGTTGCAAAAATGACAGGTTTGAATATGGGACACTGCCCCTAATCAACTGGACTGAGGATATTCTATATTAAATGCACCCAACTTGGTACAGGGGCCAAAATTGCCTTTTAAAATTAATATGTGTATTCTTAAATATATAAAATATGTAACTGTGTTACATTCTGAAACATCTGGTTCAAGGTTTCAGAGGAGATATTATGGACATACCTTAATGTCTTCACAGCAGAGATAGTTCAACAAGTTTATAGGGAATAAAAAGGTGTTTGTTTTGCTGCAAAGATGCATATATGAATTCTCAAGAAAGTTTGTGGAAAATATGTTTTAGGAAAAAGTTATGCATGTATTTCAAAAATGTATGAGTTAATACAAAACTGTCTTTTTGAAAATGACTTTTTAAAAAGTTTGTATGAAAGGTTAAGAAAAAAAGAAAGGGGAAGAGAGACTCACAGAGAGAATCTTCCACCCATTGGGGTTATTCCTCAAATGGCTGCAACCACCCTGCCTGGTCCAGGCCAGAGCTGGGAGCCAGGAGCTGCTTCGGGGTCCCAAGCACTTCAATCATGTTTGGCTACTTTCCCAGGTGCGTGAGCAGGGAGCTGGATCTGAAGCTGAAACGCTAAAGAAATCCAAGCTAATGGGATGCTGATACTGCAGGAGCTGACTTCACTCGCTGCGCTGCTTTGTGGCCCCAGGAATCTTGTCCTTTAAAAATACATAGGTTTATTTTAGAGAGAGAGAGAGAGAGAGAGAGAGAAAAGAGACTAATAGAGACCACGCACACACAGAGAACACTACTGTTAACTAGCTCACTTCCCAAATGCCTGTGGTCTTGTGATGCCTAGAACTGGGCTGGGGACAAAGTTGGGAGTCTGAGAAGTCACCCAAGCCGTCCACGTGGATGACAGGAACCCAGCGCCTTGAGCAGCCCCTGCTGTCTGCCAAGGTCTGAGGTCAGCAGTTTGGAACCCAGGCGCTCTGAGGCGGAAGGGGGTGTCTTAACTGTGCGCCCCTAACCTGCTTTTTAAATTTCTCTTTTTCTAGGAACTTTCTAGAGGTCCCCTTATGTGTCTTGATTTGAAAAGTCTGATCTTAGGTTTGCTGTTTGGTATAAGGCATAGTGGTTACCTCTTTTCTTCCTGACAGTTTTGAAGAACAAAACATTCTTTCTGTGTGCTTTTTCTATGCACTAAGATTTGGTGAGTTTCTATATCCATAAAATTGAAATAACATAACCCACCCCATGGGGAAGCCTGAAGAGCTAATGAGTTGGATTTTCATTAATGCCAGTGATTGCTATCTTGTCCCTTCAGTCAACTGAACATTTTTTAAAAGGCATTTTTATACTTTCCCAACATCTGAGCATGCAGTTGGAACATTTTTTCCCCTTTAAGATGTATTTGTTAAATTAAATAAAAAGGCAGAGTCAGAGTGAGAGGAAGCGTCACCAGAGAGCCTCTATCTGCTGGTTCACTCCCCAGCCCGTCCAGGAGCCAGGAGCTTCTTCAGGGTCTCCCACATGGGTGCAAGGGATCACACACTTTCTCAGGTACAACAGAGGGAATTGGATCTAAAGTGGCGCAGGTGGGACTTGAACCAGCACAGCGCGAGGCCTCAACGTTTTCCTTCTTGATGAATGTGAAGCAGCATTTCTGGAGAACCCAGCGTTTAACCACAGGAAGGGAATGCTACTTTACCCATTTCCCACAGTGAAGAACATTTTCAGGAATGGTGAGTAGAATGGGCCGGGCACTGCCAAGGGCACAGGGCTCGGAGGTGTGAGAGTGAACACCAAGCAGGTGGCAGTGTGTGTTGGCAGCCCACTTTAGATCACCTTGCTAGTAAACTCTCTTTCCTATTAGCTGTGATCCTCACAGAAGTCGGTTTCAAAAACGTACAGGAAAACAGACTTAAGAGATAAACTCATTCTATCGGGAAACTTTTTTGAAAACTGTGCAAAACTTTGAAGACTCCCTCCTTTGATACACGGATTTCAATTTGGGGGCGCACCAAATTATGTGTCTGTTAATTCTGTTTTTCATAAACTGTTTGAAATGCCCTGGTAAAGAAATACTTCAGAATCAAAATTTCTAGTTATGCTTGGCTCCTCCCCGCTTTTCCTCGCCCATCCTTGCTAGTCCTTATCTCTTCCACACCCTGCATTTAAAACAAGCATCCATTAGAGCCACAACAATCAACGCTAAGTTCAGCCTAGCCGGAGACCCCCGGGGTTGTGTGTGGTGTTGAAGGTGGGAGGTGCCCTCTTGGCTCGGGAAGGGAACGACCCTGGAGGAAATCAAGTCGGCTGACACCGAGGGCACAGCCACGCAACTCGGCTCCTCAATTTTTTTTTTTAAGATTTATTTATTTTTATTGGAAAGGCAGATGTACAGAGAGGAGGAGAGACAGAGAGGAAGATCTTCTGTTCCATGGTTCACTCCCCAAGTGACCGCAATGGCTGGAGCTGAGTCAATCTGGAGCCAGGAGCTTCTGGGTCTCCCAAGTGGGTGCAGGGTCCCAAGGCTTTGGGCCGTCCTCGACTGCTTTCCCAGACCACAGGCAGGGAGCTGGATGGGAAGTGGAGCTGCTGGGATTAGAACCGGCGCCCACATGGGATTCCAGCGTGTTCAGGACGAGCGCCGGGTTTCCTACTTCCCCCAAGTCCTGGCCCGTCTCCTTCTCACTTCTGCCTGCCAGGCAGGAAATGTTCCCAGCCAGCCAGCCCGCCCTTGGGATAAGACTCCGGTTCCAAAGGGGTGGTGAGAAAAGGGGAAAAAAAGAAACAAAGCAAGGAAAAAAAAAAAAAAACTTTTCCTAGAGCGCCTGGAAGGAGCCTCCAGCACCGCCGGCGGGTTTCCAGTTTCCTGGGGCCGGGAAGCAGCCGGCCACGCCCACGCTGACGCCCCGCCCCTCGGGGGGCGCGGTCCCCATTGCATGGTAATCCGCGGCTGGTGGGCAGGAACAGCCGCGGGGAGGGCGGAGCGCCCGGCCACGCCCACACTGACGCCCGGCTCCCTGGGGCGTGGTCCCCATTGCATGCTAATCCTCAGCAGGCGCGCGAATCGCTGACAGCCAGCGGAGGGCCAGGAAGCGGCCGACCACGCCCACGCTGGGGGCGTGGTTCCCCATTGCATGCTAAGAGCGGCAGGCGCGCGGAGCGCTGACAGCCGCGGGGAGGGCGGAGCGCTCGGCCATGCCCACAGGACGCCCCTCCCCTCCGGGGGCGTGGCCCTATTGCATGCTAATTGGCGGCGGGAGCCGGGGGAGCGCTGACAGCCGCGGGAGGGCGGAGCGCCCGGCTGCTGAGGAGAGCCGCTCCGGCGCGCCGCTCCATGCTGGTCCCGGTCTTTGTTCTGGGGCCGGCGCGGGGACATGCGCCGCTGACGATGGAGGTGGAGGACTCGGGCGGCGTGGTGCTCACCGCCTACCACTCGTACGCGCGCTCACAGCCGACCAGCCCCGAGCCGCGCTGCGCGCCCCGGGCCGCCTCCAGCCACCCGCTCAGCAGGTAGGGACGACGGCCGAGAGGGGAGGGCAGGGCTGGGCAGGGCTGGGCACGGGGCGTGCGACCTCCGACGCTGCCGGGGCCGGACCTCAGGGAGCCCCCCGGCTTCCGTGTTGGCCTCGGGGAGGGGAGTGGGACCCGGCGGCGGGAGCTCCTCCTCAGCCGTGCCCCCGGGGGTCCTCCGCCGTCCAATCCTAGACCTGCATTCCTCATTCCTGCCGAAAAGTAGAAATGGACACACATGAATAGTTTTAAACACCAGAAGAAACAGTTGAAAAACTGAACGTAATGTGTGGCAAATTACAGGACACACCAGAAAAAAATTTGAAATGTGTGGCAAATCACAGGAAACTGTCCAGCGCTAACCGCAAACCGCACGTGCGGGGAGGGGCTCCGGAAAGTTAGGCTCAGTGACAAGTAGTTTGCTTGTAGATGGCAAACGCTTTCCAGTGGCTTAAATGCGTTAGTATTGCCAGTGTTGACGCCGTGGTCCATGCAATTGTGGCTTCTCTCCTTGGAGTCCCAAGCACTCTGTAGCTGGCTAGGTGCGTGAATGATATGTTTGATGCCAGGACAAGACCAACGAGACTTCCATGAACTACTCCAAAAATGTTTAGGTGGGTGGCAGTAAGTGAGATGGTTCGACACGGGAGCATTGAGGAGGAGTTGTATTTGTTTAGCACGCTTTCTCGGACTGGGGACCTTGGAGGAATACCTTTTCTTAGTTCGAGCAGTGTGTTTTGATTTCATCCCGTTTGTTTTCAGTCATTCCCCCTCCCCCCCCCAGCGTGATCTTAGAGTTACACGACAATAGTTACTTCTGTTTGTTAATATGATTGATGTGTGGGTCTGCAATGGAGTGGTTTTTTTTTTTTTTTTAATTTTAAGAAATCACTTTTTGACTAGTATCCAGGAGGAGAATAAACTGCCTTGGCCCAAGATCTCTCTTGAGCTTGGCTGACAAAGGAAAGTATTGTTTCTTCCAAAAACAGCTGGCTATGTGAATTCTTAGTTTTATCTCTAGATAAAGAGCATCAGGGGTGTGTGCACATGGAGTGAAGGCTCCTTGAAGATACGACTTCACATTTGACTTTAGCGTGTCTTCTAAGCATGATCATTGGCTCTCCTCCCATCGTGAGTCGCTGAGTGACACATTGCGTGATGGGAAGCATGGCCACGGATGTGCGCTTTTTACTTGAGTCTGTTGTACCAGCCATCCTAACTCCGAGCAGCTGTCTGGAGCACCATTGTGCCATTGGGGCCATCTGAAACTCCATCCGTTGCCACAGCAAACTGGAAGGAGCTCTGTGAAGTCAGCACGTGGTCCTGTGGAAGGTGACCCGTGCCAGAAGAGCTGCCTGGCCTAGCTGGGGTATTCTCTTGGCGTTGCAAGTTCCGTGCCAGAAGAGCTGCCTGTCCTAGCTGGGGTATTCTCTAGGCGTTGCAAGTTGCACGTGTGTGGTGAAGCTGGCAGGGTTGCTGAACTGCCCAGCTCATGCTTCCCTCATGGGAAGCTTTGTGCTGGATGCAGGAGGTGGATGGAGCCCCTGCCCTCTGCCCTCTGCCCTCTGCCACGGAATCATGCAAGAATAGCTCAAATCCGTGGTTCCCAGTGAAAGCAATCAAAAAGAGGTTCCTGTATTTATGAGGGACCAGAAGATACAGGGCCATTAATCATGGGTCTGATAACAGAAATAATCAGGCCCAAGTTATTAACCTTTGACTCACTAACTACTGATCAATACTTCCTTTCAAGCGAAGAAGCAAGATGGTATTGTTCTACTTCTGAAGAAGGCACTCTGTCTTTCAAGGACACCCTTTCCTTCAAATTGCTAACATGTTTGGACCATATTTGTGGAGGGGCGACCGAATGGGCCTAGACAGCCTGGGCTGTTCTAATCTGACTTCTAAGAATCATTGCTTCGCTCTAGGTAGGACAGGTTCCAATCAAAGCAAACTGTTTCCTTCCAGACTTCATTACGTCTGAATTAATGGATTTTGAGTCTATGTATTTTTTTTTTTACCTTGTTGCCCACACAGAGATAACGTCATTAGTTCTATTGCTGTTGCTGTTCCTCTTGGTTGTTGTGTAGATGAGAGTGGAACAGCTTCTAGAACCCTGATGCCCTGACAAAATGAAGCAGGGTCAAGTGGGCCAGAATTTCCATGGAAAACAAGGGCTACTTAATGACTCAAGTTTCTGTCTCAGAATTGGGAAGGATCTGGGAGATGCTGCTTATCTCAATTTATGAGTTGCTTAAAACTGTATTTAGAACATTATGTTTGAAGCTACTTCAAATCGTAGGCATGTGTAGGCCTTCATGAGTGGTGGATAGCTAAGAGATTCTGGCATGGGGGGTAGATGGTTTGTAGATGACCCTGAGCTGTAAGTTATTTTTGGTTGGGAGGCTGATGACTGATCTGTGGGTTGCAGCAGTGCAACTCTGTGGTTTGTCTCTGTGGTTTTGCGCTTCTTCGTGTTTGCGGTGGGGAAACAGCTGGCATTTAAAATACTCATTCAACGTGGGCGTTGTTCATGCACCACCCCTTATTCCTTTAGGAATCATTTATTGTTTGTTTTCTATAATTTCTTTGACCCTGTTACTTGATTCTGTTAGAGTTTGGGGGTCAAGGTGGCTGTTCAGTATAGACTTGGTTGTTCATCCTCATAATTTGATTTCCCCACATTTTGACGCCTTGAAAGTTTCTCTAGGATTTAATGTAAGGAATCCTGCAGGATTTAACTGGAAGGATCCTAGGAAGTCTATTTTTCCTGTGCCTCTTAGTAGCATGACATGCTTGGAACACTGAACTGGAGTTTGTTTCTTTGTAGTTAAAAGGCAGTATTACCATCAAGGTTCAGGGTTCTCTGTTTCATCAGTTTAAAACAAGAGGATACCTCCTTTGGGTGAAGTTTTAGTGGAAAATCTCAATCTCACTTTCCATTTGTGTCTGCAGTTGTCACTGAAATACTGGGTTGATGGATCTTGTTGGATAATCTAGGTCTGTTCCTCATTAGAAAAACAGAATCTTTAATTCTGTACTCAGCAGTGGCAGCGAGTGCCAGGCCTGGTGTCAAGTGCATTTTTAGATTACAGAGATTGAAAGCAGTGTAAAATCCTCTCACTCACTCGAAGAGACTCACTCATGCTTGGGAGGAAAGCAGTACCTTTGATACAAACATTCCAAACCTGCATTCTGGGGTCAAAGAGAATGAAGAACTGTGCCTTCTGAGTTTTGTTAAAGGAAACTTTGAAATTGTCTCTAAAATTTTGATTTTTTTTTTTTATTTTCCGCAAGAGGCCGAACTTCTGTTCATAATGCAGTGTGAGGATGCTGACGTGTACACAGAGTAATTTCATCTGTCGAATCGAAGGTCACAGGAGATAAAAGAGATCTTGTTCTTCAAGGATTTCCTAAAGTATTTGTTACTGTAATAAGCACAACTTTTTTTGGGGGGTGAGGATATAATATGAAATGGCCATGATTATTTCTGATGTTATCTGGTTATACCATGAACTTCCTGAGGGAGGATAAAAATAGAGGAGGAAAAGGTACAACTCTTCCTCAAAAACAAACATAGGAGCAGGCCAAGGTTATCCGGGGAGCCCTAATTCTGCTACAGTGCTCAGGCTTTTGTAAAAAGGATGTTGTCCTACTATTGTGACTCTTCAGACAGTTCTTTATAATGAGAATGATTTGATTTACCCAGAATTCATGAATGGGAAGTACATCTTTTCTTTGGTGGAAAAGCTGCATTTAAAAACTTTGAATGGCATTTTTCATGTATTGCTCTGGGTTGAAATTAATTAAAAAGACATTTCCTTCGAGGTACAACTAACTCTTAGGGATCCCAAGTTCTGAATGGCGGCGGGGGGGGGATGACAGACTATTCTTTCTAGAGAATTCAGAAAAAAAAATAGTGGATCTAGGATTTTTATGGGGGAGTGGATATTAGAGGTCATTCTTTGTGTTATGGTGGAAACTAGAGTTTTCTTCTCTGGTTTCTTTCCATGGTGGGGTCCCTGCTGAGCGGAGCTGACTCCATGTGTGGAACTGTTGGAAAACATCTGGCACATTCCCTTTGATTCTGTCATTTGGCTAAACATTTGGCCTGTTACTCTGTTCATTTTTAACCTGCTCTATTCTCTGTTCACGAATCCCTAATGTACCCACAAAAACTCAAGGAATCTAGAGATCTTACAATCACTTTCACACAAAAAAAGATGGATTTTTCTAAACTTTTGATTCTTGGTATAATTTTAGAACTATAGATAACTTGGAAAAGCAATGTACAGAGAGTTCCCCTGTAACCTTCACCTAGATTCCCCAAATGTTGGCATCTTGTATAACCAGAATTACCAGGCTTCAAACTAACACTGGTATTGTACTGTTAACTACCACAGGCCCACATTCGGTGTTCACCAGTTTTTCTACTGGGATTGGAATTTTCCCATTACAAAATTGTGTCCAGGGCCACACTTTTTTTGTTGTGTCCCCGAGTCTCCTCTGAGTGACAGTTTGTCCTTGCCTTTCACAACCTTGGCACTTTTGGAGGACTGGTTGGTGAGTTTTGTAGAAAGTTTTTCAGTTTTGGGTTGGCCTGAAGTCTTCTTGGGGTTGAAAGGAAGCCTATGAATTCTTTTTTTTTTTAAGATTTTATTTATTTTTATTAGAAAGATCTACAGAGAGGAGGAGGAGAGACAGAGAGGAAGATCTCCTGTCCCATGGTTCACTCCCCAAGCGGCCGCAATGGCTGGAGCTGAGCCAATCCGAGCCCAGTTTCCTGGAATCTTCTTCTGGGTCTCCCAAGTGGGTGCAGGGTCCCAAGGCTTTGGGCTGTCCTCAACTGCTTTCTCAGACCACAAGCAGGGAGCTGGATGGGAAGTGGAGCTGCTGGGATTAGAACCTGTACCCATGTGGGATCCTGGTGGGTTCAAAGTGAGGACCTTAACCACTATGCTGTCCTCCAGGCCCACCTATGAGAATTCTGCAGATGTGAT